TGCTAAAACAACGTAAATGGATTAATATTTAATACGTAAAAGAAGTATCAATTCATTAACAGCTCCCCGTGGCCACTTCATAAGTCGCTGCGAATCCTGATTACGCGACATTTGAAAAATGGCAAAAAGGAGGGAAAATTCGTAAGGTTGTGGGTTAAAATGGGGAGTTGGTGTCTGAGTAGATCGAAGTCACGATAGCTCAAGTGATTAGAACAGCGGCATATTGATCCGAAGGTCGTGGGTTCGAATCCCGCTCGTGTCGCTGACTTTTTTTTATCTCAACTAAAACCTTAATTAATTGTAATATATTAATTGGTCAAGGGGACCACGGAATTAGTGAATTTAATTGCACACAAGGTTAAACAATACCATCCCTATTATGTAGGGTGTGCATCTGTTTGGCGGTGCGTCCAGTGGCTGTTGGGTTAATGCAGATAGTCAGATTCTTTTACCCCTGGCCACCCGGTCCGTCCCACAATAATACAAATGGGTACGAATTCGCCGGAAAAGCGTTCCATATCCAATAAATTATTAATAAAAATTGAATTTACAATTTAGAAATTAAATTGTTTATATGCTCCGGGAATACGTGATCGCGTGACAGTCTTGGCGATAAGAGCATCTTTATTGCCGGCCCACTATTTGCTCGAACGTCGACCCAATCGGTCCAGAGAAAGAAGACCTCTGTAAATAACCGGCCGGGTGGTGATAACGGCGAAATGCTTTCATTATTTTTATTTCATTTATTGTGAATTCCAATAATATTTTTTTTATCGATTATTTATAGGAGGAAACGTTCCGTTTAATTCTTGTCATATTCTTTAATATAGGGAAAAAGACAGGTAAGAATTGACAATAACAAATATTTCCTTAATGCATAAAGCGTTAATATAATTCACTAATTTCGTGGTCCGCTTGAACAGTTTATATATTACAATTAATTAAGGTTTTTAGTTGAGATAAAAAGTCAATGGCACGAACGGGATTCGAACCCACGATCTTCGGCTAGATACGCCGCTGCTCTACCACTTGAGCTATCGTGACCTCGATCCACTCGGACACCAACTTCCCATCTCAACCGCACCTTTTACATTTTCCCTCCTTTTTGCCATTTTTCAAATGTCGTTTAATCGGATTGGATTCTCGACGACAAATGAAATGGCCTCGGAGAGCTTTAGTGAAGTGTACTTCATTTAATTCATTAAATTCACTAATTTCGTGGTCCGCTTGACCAATTAATATATTATAATTAATTAAGGTTTTTAGTCGAGATAGATCCGATTACACGACATTTGAAAAATGGCAAAAAGGAGGAAAAATTCAAAAGGTGGGGTTGAGATGGGAAGTTAATGTCCGAGCGGATCGAGGTCACGATAGCTCAAGTGGTAGAGCAGCGGCGTATCTAGCCGAAGATCGTGGGTTCGAATCCCGCTCGTGCCATTGACTTTTTTATCTCGATTAAAAACCTTAATTAACAGTAATTGTTTCAATTATTGATTATTGAATTTATATTAATTACGTATATTTTTGATCTTAATAAATATGCCCTGATGATGGCAACATAATGTTGCCGAAAGCTTGGTGATCCCAACACTTTTGTCCTTGTTTCAACTAATAAAGACCTTAAAGAAGATTTGTACTCTACATTGATTATCTGCAGGTCGATCTACAAACATCATTTCCTCATGAGCCAGTTTCATTTGTGCAGAAAACGTTTTAGTTTAATATAAACAAATATATTTTTTTAAATTCATTTTTTGGTACGAAAAACGATTATAACCTCTTTAAATTCCATTCCCTTCGACGTGTTTAAATTAAACATGTAGACTTCAGGTTTATTTATATAATTGTCGTCCAAAATTCACTTTTTTTTACAAAATAAAAGCGTAAACATGATATTAATTACCTGTTTAAATTATAAATCATAATTACACCCTCAATTATCACCTTTGTAAAAATTATTTGATTATTATTTCCAATTTTTTTTATGCAAAGACGGCCGGGAAGAAACATTATTGTCGCGAGGGGGATTCGAACCCACGACCTTCGAGTTATTTGAAGCACTTCTAAGCGTGGAATTTCATGGAGCCGGCTTCATTGTGCAGAAAAGGTTTTTAGTTTAATGTAGAAAAAAAAAATTTCAAAACGCATTTTTCTGCTCTTACTTACAATCCTTATCTCCTTAAGGCGAAACGCATGCTACTGCACTCATCATCGAATTTTCTTGGACATATGTATGTTCTCTTTCATTCTTAATTTCAGAATATAAAAAAAATTCTATTTGTTATATAATCATTGGAATTTCGGTTTTAAAGGATAAGCCCGTGGCGAGTGATTGGGTTGTAGTTACGGTTTATTATTAATTGACCCTTTTATCTCTGTACCGATTAACTGTCTTTAAATTTTCTTAATTATTGTAGTATCGTTTGGGTTTTATTTATTTATTAACCGACTTGTTTCTAACTCCATAATAGACGTAAATACTTGAAACTCGTAGCGCTGTACGCAAGACAAACACTGCGTCGACAAATCTCGCCAGTGATGACGGCCTCTTAGCTAACGGAAATACCCCCGATAACAGCGAAACATGCTAGGTGGACGAAAAATGATAATTCTAACTGATGCCGTTCCGGTCTCGGCCTATTTTATTTCCAGCGTCGAATTTTCAATGTCGTCATTATTACATTGTGTCCTCTGTTAGTCCATCAACCCTGCACACCACAGCAGATAATTTACAGTGCTAGTGGTTTTTTTTTTTTTTTTCTAAATAGATGTTTGGTTTGTAGTTTTATTTTTCCAAAGTTGTCGAAACGTTTCAAAATGTTAAATGCAAGAATGCTGTCAGAAGCCGCGCCATGTTCGAAACTCGCCGGACAGTCGGATTAAATCGAAGTCTGACTCGACTGTGTTTGTGAAACCTTTTAGCAAACTTTGGGAGGAAAGCTGTAACAAAACGCATTAGAGGAAACAGGACAAAACTGCGAATCCTAACAGGATTCATAATATGACATAGCAAACTATGTGAGGAAGATCGGCATAACCCAACACGGCAAGTGCAGATTCTGCTAAGAAGCAACGGAAACACCGACACACCTACTAAAGAATGGGGATAGAAACTGAGGATATCCCCCTTCATCTATTGTAGGTCTGAGTACAGTTATTACTAATCAAGGTTTGTTTTGTGTGACCGAAGACGGTAAATATTTATTAGAAGAGCCTATTTTTGATTTAAGTGGGCAAATCCTGGTTAAATCCTTTTAAAAAGGTAGTACCTACTCGCAGTAAGTTGTTTTCAGCGATCCGGATTTCGAGCTTATAGCGCATCATCAGGTTGTAGACCTCCTTCAACCTGATGGTGAGCTATAAGCTTGAAGTCCGGGTCGTTGACAGCAACTTACTGTGAGTAGGAACTATCTTTTTAAAAGGATTGAACACCTCACTCACTCCACCATTCATCATTTTTATTAATCTATTAGGTTTCGTGGTCGTGGGTTGACACTGACTTTTTTATCTCAACCAAAACCTTAATTAAAAATTAATTAATTGAAAAGAATTTTTATTAACCTTGATTAATGTTACAAATCAAATTTTGGCAAAGAAAATAGAAACGATGAGTATCAAATGATCATCAGAAAAAAAAGCGAAACGCGTTTGAGTGATTTGAAGACGAACCCAGTAAAATGATGGAGCTCGTCTGAAAGAGGAAGCGTTTTGTGACGTACGAAAGATTGAAGAAGAGATTCAATCACTGAACCTGGGCCTAATAATCAAGTTTTTTTGTATATAATATGTCTTATGTGTTGTGTCTGTACGTTTTGTCTGAGTGCATGTATTTATTAGCGCGAATGGCGAGGGGGTGAGGGTGATATAACGTCATCATCGCCCCTGGAACGTTGAAAGCCTAAGTGTGTGTGTTCGGGGTCGATGACGGAATATTTATAAAAGTACTCCATCCACCCCAATCTAGTTTAGTTTAAGTATAAGTCGGTGGAGGAATATCAAGTACTCCACCGACCAAACGGAATGAGTGTACTGTATGGATGTATTTAAGTGTATGAATGTATTTATTTGTATGAATGTAGTGTTTGAAAGGGTATAGAATATAGAATATACACTTAGTTGGAGGCTAAAATGACGTAGATGTCGGAAGCCCCAGCCAAAAAAAAAAAATAATAATAATAATCAAGTTCCTTGATGAACTTACATCTATCTGACTGGTGTCCCATTCACACGACGCTCTTTTGGATGTTAGGGCGGGCGGATTTTGACAAAGTAATCGACTTCATCCGGAAATATCGAGGTAGTTAAGGCGGCAAGACATTAGCTAATACAGAAGCGTTGTTTGAACTCAATTTGAAATACGCGCATTTGACAAATGAGCTGTTTATTGAAAGACAACGCGGTTTAATGTCCTTTGTTAATAAAGTTTCACCGACCCTCGGCAAATAGCTCGTCTGACAAACTCGGCGAAACCTTCCGTCCCGAAGGCTCTCAGACATTTCCTAACGATTGTCTCAATTATCGGAGGTTTACAAGAAAACGGAATTCTCAAAGGAAAATAAAAACTATATAATCTGGAATTCCTACTAAAGAAGGCATAAAGCCGAAACGTGTTTGAGTGATACGAAGATGAACCCAGTAAAATGATGGAATGATCATCAACATCTAACACCAAAACACTAACCCTAACGTACCATAAACTAACCTAATTCAACCCTGCTCCTCAGTAATATAAAATCGATTAAACGAAAACTGTATGGTGTATGTATACGTATCAGGACCAAAAACGTATCCATGTTAAAAAGCGAAGGGTAGCCAATAAGTTCGATATCACTTTAATTCATTTTAACCTGGTACATTCGAGAGTTTCGAGTTAATCCAATCGATCTCTCCAAATTTCGTGGGTTTAGCTGTCTTCAGTAATAAAACAACTAACAGCTCAAATAAGAAAGAAAGTATATTATTGTTTTGTAATTTTAATTGTACATGTTTGTTCACAGGAAAGCCGGAGCTGTAGATGACCTCTCGGTGAAACCAATTACCCAGTTTCCCGTCACTCTTAAAGAAGAGGTAAGCAGCCAATAAATCGAATACTGAAGATTTATACTGATTTTTCTTTTTGGCAACAGAAATCGGTCATAATACGGATTATTTGTATTTCTTCATTTGTAATAAGAGTTGTTTCCGTCGATCACGTTATCTTAACCCTTAAACTTTCAAATTTATTTTTTTTAAAGCGATTTTTTTTCTTAGTTCCACTCGGTTCCACGGTGAGGGAATGGCGATGACTATTGTAAGATCGGAACCAAGGGAAGGTAGGGATGATAGGTTGGATGAATTTATAAAATTTTCCTTTTGTGCTGGCGGAGTATTCGTTTTGCCAACGGAGCCTGCAGTAACTGGTTATGTGGGCTCTAAGATCTCTAGGGGAGATAATAGAGCAGGGAATGCCAGCGGAGGCCGCAGATTTGGCCAGCCGGTCCGCTTCATCATTAAATTTGTTGTTGCTGTGGCCTTTAGTCCAAATTATGTGCACTACGGTGCCTCTATTGGTTAGTTGATTGGTGGTGTTAAATATATGAGATATTAAAGAGTGGTTATAATTGTGGATATTGGAAATGGCGGATAGGACACTCTGACTGTCGGAAAAGATAATTAGATGGGGATTAATTGATTGGGCATATTTTAGGGATTCTAGGATTGCTAGAGCTTCAGCAGTGAAAATGGAGGCAATGCGGGAAAATTTGAATTGTTTTGAGAAGGAACTAGCTGAGATATGGAAGGCTGCGCCCACACCGTTGTCGAATTTGGAACCATCTGAATAAATGGCTAGAGCCTCTTCGCAATAGCCGCTACCAGATGCCTCCTCAATGTATGGAGGGAAGGAGGACCAGTTGGAAATAGAAAGGGGATCAGGAATAGCAAATTTGTTAGGGACCAGTAGTGGAAATTGATTGGTGAGGAACTTCGGGTGGTTGGACGTTGGAGGAACAGAGATAATCAAGTGGGAAAGTTTCAAAAAAAGAGTAGATATCAAGGGGGATTTCTTGTTCCGCCAGAAATTGCTGGTATTGGAGGCAGTAGCAAGTTGGCGGATATGGAGGACAGTGTGGTATTTTTCGATTAGCATACGAGAGGATAAAAATCTACCTGTGACTAGGAACCTCCGATGGGTGAGAGGCATCTCCTTAGCTTCCACTTAAAGAGCGTTAGTTGGCGTGGATCTCATAGCTCCCAAGATCACTCTGAGGGATTTATACTGGATTTTGTCTAATTTATCCAAATGAGTTTTTGCAGCATCTCCATACAATGATGATCCATAATCCAGTCTTGAAAGTACCAGTGCTCTATAGAGAAGAAGTGCAATGTTAAGGTGTGAGCCATAGCGAACTTTAGTAACACACCTGATTATGTTTATGGCTTTTTCGCAAACATCAACCAGGTAATTGATGTAACCTCTCCATAGTAGCTTACGGTCAAACATGACGCCAAGGAGCTTGAACTTGTCCACAATTTTGAAGTTATAAGGACCTAATTTTATATTATCTGCTAAAGGAGTTGTACGTTTGCGAGAGAAAACAGTTACAGCGCTCTTAGATTCAGATAGGTTAAAGCCATGGTTAAAAATCCATTCCTTAAGAGAGGTCATTGCTTCAGTCCTCTCTTCTGTAGCCTGATTCAAGTTACGATGGGAACAGTATACGGTGATATCGTCTGCAAACTGAAGAGTTTTAATATTTTGATGGAATTGTTGATTAAGTGAAGACGTATAAATAGAAAAAAGAATAGGACTTAGTACTGCTCCTTGGGGAAGCCCATTACAGACCACCAATAGTTTTAACGTAATATTTGACTAATATTCTTCTATTAGTAAGCAAGTTTTTAACGGCCATAATGATCCTCATAGGAACTTTCATGTCCCTCATTTTGTTGATCAAAGTAATGATATTGACACTGTCGAAAGCGCTAGATAAGTCAAGGAAGGCCGCTAGCACATAATGATTTTGGGAGAAGTTCTCGTATATATCAGATGTAAAAGAACTGAGGACGTCAATGGTGTTGTGGCCCTTCCTGAAGCCATGCTGGATGACTGGATGATTATAATTTGTTTCAAGCCACCATTCTAGGCGTGCCTTTATCATTCTTTCGAACGTTTTGGCAACTACTGAAGATAAAGCGATAGGTCTGTATGAGTTGGCTGAATCAGATGGTTTTCCAGGCTTAAGAATTGGTCTAATTATTTGGGTGGTCCATTCTGGAACCTTAATATCGTTTATCCAAAAAATATAATCCTTAATTTACTATATTTTTCTTCTCTCCAAAAAAAGTAGTTCAATAAACTTATTGAATTTTTACAGACGCCCGAGCAGCGCTATAGTTCCTTCAAAGGTCTTCGTACCATTTCAATTAAAAAGGTATGTACAACCATATAAGAATATACAAAATATTTTTTTAAACTATTGTTTCTACTATCCATTTTCCCTCTCTCACACCAATATTCAATTGTAGTTGAATGATTCTTTTTAGATTTACTAGTTTATCGATTTTAGTTTTCAACAACACTAAAAAAAAAACTGAATGAACTTTTATATCCAAGAAGCATGAACTAAAGACTAATTTAGTTTAAAGAAAATTTGAAATAAAATCATTTAGCAAATTTCAACATTGTTTTGAATATGCTTGTATTTACACTTTCTTCTTTATTTCTTCTCTTAATTAACAAATTTAAAATTGGTTTTTTTATTGTCTATCTTACTGCGTGTGTGATTTAGACTAGGTACATCGGTACAATCAGGCGTTAGAGAACTTGTACATACTTTGTACATATAAAATGTAAATTGTTACATTGTTTAAATTATTGTGTAGTGATTATTATTTACAGGGTAAAAACATACTTGTACAGTTCGATTTATTGGTCACCACCTTTCCCTGAGTTCTTTACCCTGTCCCAATTCTTAAGACTTTCAATTTGGGCAAAATCCGACCGGTCACTAAAAAGGAAATATTACAGCAAAGAGACACAGCATATACAGGGAGGCAAAAATCGGCATAAGAAATAGACAAGGACAGGCGAGATTTATCCCACATAAATTTACTTTACGTCAATTTAGAGCGATCGGAAGGCATAATTATTATGAGGTCGGTACATATAAACCTTGATCTATTGAAATCAATCAGTCCCATGATTAAAAAATATATATTTATCTCGGATAAGCTATAAAGAAGGGGAAAAGTGGCCACCCTTAATAATTTTAATTATCTTTTAGACAATCCAACATTGATTATCTTACAACAATACTTGCCTCGTTTTAAAGAATTAGAGAGGTAAATAAAACACAGATAAAATCTTGGGTTTACAATTGTATTTTCTAAATAAATCTTTGAATAGTCAAGCTCTTGTTTGTTGGTTTTTCTCTAAAGCTTCTTTCTAACGTTCCGGTGGTATGATTTTTTTTTAAGTAGTACTTTTTTAAGCCATTTATGTTTTAGTGGTCAATTGACCAAGTTACTTCTTTCAATTAATTATTCTTTTTATGTAAGGTCTTGGTTGAGATAAAAAAAGTCAGTGTCACGAGCGGGATTCGAACCCAGGACCTTCGGCTAAATACGCCGCTGCTCTACCACTTGAGCTACCGTGACTTCGATTGTCTCGGACACCAACTCGCCATCTCAACTTACAACCGTTCTTATTTTCCCTCTTTTTGCCATTTTTCAAATGTCGCGTAATCAGGATTCGATTCTCATCGAGTTACGAAGTGGCCACGGGGAGCTGTTCACCAACGTTTACAAGTTTTTGCAACAGCAGAGGTCATATAAACCCTCAGGGTGCCGGTGTTTTTAAAAAAAAGCCCATTTGTAAGTATGTCGGGTTCGAATGCAGGGCTGCTGGATTCGAACCCGGGACCTTTCCCTAACAGTAATGAGCGCCGTGTCAAAGACTAAACCTTGCGGCCACCGACGCCCCATTAAGTTTAGTGTGTGTAGAGATTAGTGACCGTTAATCGATAGTTATTCAGATATGGTGAGATGCGGTCGGATGTGATGTAGGTTGCAGAAAAACATTTTCTTCATTGTGCCAACGTTTCGATCTTTTATTGAGATCATCTTCAATGTTTTTCTGAAACCTACATCACACCCGACCGCATCTCACGATATCTGAATAATTAATTTAGTATTGATCACATCCTACTGGAAATTTAACGTAGATTTCAATGGTCTCAACGGATTTGTCCAAAACCTTTTTAATTTTGGAGTTATCATTGTTTATTTGAAGTAAGCTCGTAAAATCTTGAAAAAATCAGAAAAATTGGAATAACTCCGAAACTGTTGAGATTCGGACCATAGTTAATTAGGACCTTTTGGTTCCATTTTGAATCTATAATCTACTGGCAAAGTTTGTAAAACGAGTAACCGAACACCGTGTATATAATTCATATGCTGTGCTGCTTCAGAGATTTATTCTCAGTTCTGTTTTCACTTTCTGTATTTCTCTTTCTTCTCGTCGGTTCGGAGCCTTAACGATTTGGTGGAAGATGGTCAATTTCTATTGTTTTGTGGTTGATCTTGAGATAAATCGTGAGGCTCTAATCTTGGCCGTATATTCCCGATACAAGTTTTCGAATAAAGACGACGGATCCGTTTAAAGCCGCTATCGTGACCGATAATCGGCGGCATTTATAATCCCGATTTATCCTATCGCGTAATTCGACCATTTTCGACCGCTGTACCGCTTATCTGCCTCCGCATTAAACCGTTGCAATGATTCTGGATAAGAGCAAACGAGAGGAAATTTCAGACTGGGGTTTTAAACATAAAACACTCGTTGCGACGTTCGTTCTTCTGTTCGCCTGTGCTGAAAATACTAGGAGATACTAAGTTCAAGAGGAGTAATATTTAAATGAGTACATTCTAGAAATACTATATTTTATGGCCAAGAAAAAGCTCCCTGACTTGTTCTAAAATTTATCCTAGATAGGCTCGTTTTCCGATGAGATCAATTGGTTGGATTTATATTCAAGGCAATGTTTAACTTATCTTTTATTAATGGTGCTCATATCTGTGGACAATCTTGCAGAGGAAGCGGGCTCCGCAGATGATTCTCTCTGAAGTTCATTATTGAACGGGGGGCCTAACATCCAGGGCAGATTTGGACTCCGCTCCTCAGGGGTTCATTAATCTTGCCGTCTTTCCAACGCCTTTCTGCAATCGATCGTACATTGCGCCTTGTATACACAAGGGGCAAACATTTGATCAAAGGTGGCAGTTTACAAAGCCGCTCCTAAACTTAATGTATGCAGCAGGAGCGTGTGCAAGGGTTGACGTTGCATCTCCTCTCGGCCGACTTCACCCCATTGTCAATTTATTATACGACGCTAAAAGCAGTGGATAATAGCCGAAAACTTTTGCTCGTTCATTTAGGTCGTATGGTTTTTTTTATAAGAAATTTTAATTTTTTTTCTGAATATGTACTTTGAACCTACCACAAAAAGCCGTAGTTTTCCTAACCACACAATATACTGCCATCCTACGAACTACTCCTTATCCTCTCTTATGAAAATATTCCGTCGTTCTCCTTATTCCTAAAGCTCACAACCCCCCCATCACATAAGCGGGAACACACTTACCGGATGCGGGAACACACTTACCGGATGCAACGCTATGCTACGCTACCTGATGCTAGCCGTCGCAAATCCAAAGTCCAATTTTCCATAAGATTGTATTACCCCCGTGCACATCTACCCGATGCTATGCAACGCTACCCTACTCTACGCTATGCGATCCCCACTTTCCAGATTTTCGTCGGGTAGCATCGAGTACAGTCGAAGACAAAAGAACCGGACGCTCATATTTTTATTTCAAACTACATGTATTAATGTCGTTATATTCATTACAACATACTTATTTTAATATAAACCAAATTAACCGAGATCAAAAATTAATGAGTTTTTATAAAACTTATGATGGTTAGGCAGAAAATTTATCAAAACACCGGAATAACTTTATTTAAAACAATTAAACTTACCTAACAATTTATTACATGGTTGTGCTCATAAAATTTAACTAACAATTTATTTCATAGTTTTGCTCACCATTTTCGTCGAGTAACGTCAGAACAGGATACCCATATTTTTTTGTAGTTTATTTCAAACTATGTATATGAAATTTTGTTGTTATATTAATTACAACATTCTTATTTTAATGTAAACTAAATTAAAGAAGATCAAAAATTCATGAGTAATTATGAATGATAAAAATTATTTAATTATGATGGTTAGGAAGAAAATTTAACAAAACACTGGAATAACTTTATTTAAAACTATTAACTTTAATAAACAATTATTACATGGTTGTGCTCATAAAATTTAACTAACAATTTATTACACGGTTTTGCTCAAAATACTACATTAAGAAGAAAAGGGGCATTGCGATTGTGATACTGATTTGTGATACACGCTGTGTGACTGTACGTGGCGCGCGCTTGACGTCGCATAGATGTGCACACCCTACCAAAACGTGACAAGGTGTCGGGTAGCGTCGCATAGCGTTGCATCCGATGTGTTCCCCGCTATATCTTTTTCCACAGACCCATCAGCCTTCTTCCTGCAATGTCCAAAACCTTCGAAAGACTCCTTTTAAAGCGAGTAATCCCCTAGATACTCATAAAATAATTCCATTTTGCCAATTTGACTTCTACATCATCTACATCATTCTAATGCCCAGCAAAGGTTAGGCCAAGGCGTTCGTAGATGTAGCACAACATAGGGTCCAGGCACCCGGCCATGCTTTATATACCTAAACACTTCCTACCCACTCGTTATTATCTTATCCTGAAATCCTACCTAACATAACGTTGCTTCAGAGTGAAATGCGGCAACGAGTTCTTGGAAATCAGACCGATACGAGCCGGCGTCCGACAAGGGAGTATTCTTGGTCCCATCCTTTATATCATCTATAACTCAAATCCTACCCAAGCTACCTCCAATATCCAAGAAAACCTTGAGCCTATTGAAGACCGGTGCAAAAAGTGGAACGAAAGAAAATGTACTCAGTGTACGTTTACATTGAAAAAACAGTCTTGCCCTCAGCTGTACATACTTCCACTGAAGTCCCCACGCAAGACTTAAAAGACAACAACTTAACAGAAGACAGACAACTACAGGTCTCCTAGGACCAAAATCCGACTTGACCGTCTCAACTAACAATAAGACTTTACTGCGACCACTTTGGACGTACAGAGTGGAACTGTGCAGTTCTGTCAAGCCGTCCAACATCCAGCGCATTCAATCCTTCCAATCAAAAGTCATGAGACAAATTGTCAAAGCTTCTTAGTGACGACATTAACCTCAATATCCACAACGACCTCAAAATTATCTTTGTCAACGAACTGATCCGTTCCCGATTCCAAAAGTTTCAC